ATCCCTTCCAAGCTGTTTGGTTTCGATGGTACGATAATATAAAACGAGGGTTTGGAGAGTTATCGGTACCTCAACAGTTAATTGTTCATGGAGAAACTGTGTTTTCTCCACAAACAAAAATTATCCAAGACCCCCGTAAAGCTTTTCTGTTATTGCACAGCGTCTTTGTAACATTTCCTCTTAAAAAAGAGAAATTTCAATCACTGTTTATTCACAATTCATCCGAAATTCAAAAGGCGATAAAAGAGGTTATAGCTTTCCATTTTATCTACCACCGAATAATGGTAAAGCATAAAATATATACATTTGTTTTAAAATTTTAAAAATATCACACCTTCATGTAGAACACTCGTAAGATAATAATTGAATCTATTCTTAAAAAATGTGGAAACTGTCAGTAATTCAGTTCTTTTTGCAAATTATTCCAGGTACCAATTGTTAGTATAAAAAATAAATGTTTAAAACTGTTTAGTTGCAGATGCAGTCTTAAGTTTGAAACAGTGTGTAGCCCGGCTCTTAAAGGTCGATAATCACGTGCGAACGTAAAAAATGCTGAGGGTTCTAGACCATTAGGTAACTGTCTGTTTATTCTTTCATTTAGCATTGGCCGTTTATAAGGGACTTTAGACGTTCTTCGTACGTAGCCTACATGTCCGCCCCAATGTTACCAAGGGCACATTTAAACGCACTACATTGCACTTTCTCTAAGACGTCTGAACCCTTTTTGAGGAGTGTACACCGGACTGGAGAACAATACTGTCTAGCATCTGTCGTCATTTACAAGCTCTAGTATTGGACTTAACCTACCAATTGCATAAGGAAATATCCTTCAAATATGCTAAAAGTATTTTCTTTATTCATATCCTCAAAAGATGGGAGAAGATATAGTTACAACTGATTACTAATTACTAAAAGAATCTCTGTGACTTCAACTACATTTACTTTATACTTTTATGCATTGTTTTTACATGCTGGCTAGTTAAGCATTCATGCATTTCCATTTTACCGAATGTTAACAGGTACTTAATAACGCGCTGACAATGTAAAAAAAAAAAAGAAAGAACGCAAATACACAGGTAGGTTTGAAAAGCTCTCGGCCTAAATGCAAGAAACTGATTATCTGGACAATCTACAGAGCACCTGATTGAATATGGAAACTTTTTTTCAAGATTTAAATACATCTATGTCTTCTGTGCCTGAGAAGACCCAGCTTGTTTTGCTCGGGGATTTCAAAATAAATTTTTTATTTTGAAATCCCCGGGTGGTTGAAATCTGGGGTGGTTGCTGGGTGTGAATTGTAACTGAAAAGCCCCCATGGGGAGTGGTCAATTAACATATGTATGTATGTGTTCCCAAGGCTCCAGAAAGAACCATTGAATATTGGTCATACAAGAATTATTCGAAGCAGGAATTTCTGATTGACTTGAGAGATATTGAATGGGACCAAGCACTAAACAAGGATGACATTGACTCCGCGTTCGATGATTGGAACGACGATGATTTACGAACAGTTTCTGAGTGGTTCTCTAGAAATCTCCCTACTCTAAATATATCCATAGAAAATGGACTTCTTATGAACTGCCAGTAAGGGGAGGGGGGTCAACCAAATCCCCCACCGCTCACAGGTCCCTGATTGTGGAGGGCTCAAAAAAATTATTCGGGAAGGTTTCCTCAGTCACTTTCTTCGATGAAGTGGGACAGTTCATCAGATGTTCCCGTTCTTGTGACCGCTTCATTTTTAAGACGTACAACTTTTTGACGAAGGAACTGCAGCATCGCATTGGACCGAAGAAAACATACTTCTTGAATATCTTCATATGTGTAACTCCTCTCCCTGGTGAAACAAAAAGGAAAAAAAATAAGTTCAAAAAAACGGTAGAGATGGCAAGTATTTTATTATTATTAAGTTATTGCGAGGCTTCGACAGAAAACCTAGCCTGTTAATTGCGCAGGAGCCGTTTTAAGCCTAAGCAAAGGTCTTTCTACCTCGCGTGTATATCAAAGGCTAAGGCGTTCTTTATGTAATTTTTTACTCGACTAAGACACTTACCGATGGCGAGCATCAGTACAGAGGCGTTGAGAGCTACAAAGATGAAATTCACAAACATAGAATCGCTCTTGCCCTCTCCTTGACTCTCATCCCAGTTTGTGTAAACTGCACCAAGACAAACGTCAAAGAAAATGATCCAAAGGACAAATGTTTGTAAGCGATCTTCAAACTTGTCCTTGATTGGTCGGAATAAGGTGTAGACCACTCCAAAGACGCTGACTGTAAGAATTGTAAGGCTGATTTGGGTGAGGCTTTTGGATCCAAACAGGAAAATCAACGAGATTAGAATCAGCTTGCGATACATCTCTGTGACTTCCCAAAACCAAAATTTCTTCTTATAGTTTTCAAAGAACACTCGAAGTCCGAAAGCAATTTCTTTGTCTTCCTGGGACTCGCGATATATGTAAATGAGAAACAAAACAAGAAGTGGAAATCCCACGGGATATAATGCCAAAATAGAGGCTATGAGCCAATACAAGCTGTGGCGAGGAGTGAAACACTGGATAGAGTAGTCAGCTCTCAGCAGGAAGTCACAGTCGCTCTTGTCGTCCGTGAAACACGTTTCTACACACGCTCCAGGAAGAGGAAGAATCTGAATTATCGATTTGCTTGTCGTGGGGTAGGTCGTCAATAACAAGAGGAAAATGTTGCGATAGCAAGATTTCTTCAAAGCCTTAATTTCCGTTACTTTTTGGCTTTCGCTAAGGTCCCTCTTGTTCATGATGTAGCGCTTTTTCAGGAATAGATACAAGAAAAGCAAGCCAACGAGTAGGACATTCAAGGTAATGATCAATGTAAACTTCCCAAGTTGATCCAACCGCAGAGAAGAATCAATGCAGCTAAGTGGAGCAAACTGCAAAATGTTCCCCTCAAATACTTTTAGAAACTTCTCCATTGAAATCAAAGTGATTGGCCAACGAACTTTCGCCAAAGCCGAGAAAATACCAGCGATGACTTGGTAAAAACCAATCACAATCTTGAAGCATGACATGATGACATCTGCAACGGTTCGGTTATTCTCTGTACGTTTGGAGTCACCCCAAAGAACAAGTAGGAACACAGCAACAAAAAGAGCAATTACCAAACTAGATGAGGTCACTGTTACAGTTAAGTGAGGACATTTCAAACATGAATGGAAGCGGAAATAAAATCCGCTAGAACAGGTTGCACACAAAGTCCCTTCATATCCATGATGGCATTCTGAGTCAATTCCACCCTTGCAGGATTTTGCATGGGGACATTTTAGAGGCATCGGAAGTGAGGTATCGAACTTGGAATATGACATGTTGTAGTCTGGTCCAAAAGAATGAATATTGTTAACAAAAGCCTTGAACAGTTCCCTTTCAGACTGGTGTGACCATTTCCAGANTGATCACAATGCCAGTTAAAAGTCAACCAATCAATTTTCTATAATTCGCTCTTTAAACTCTGTTAGAAATGACTATTCCTCCTTTCATATCCCCTTCCCCTAAAAACCGTGTGATACTCCCCCCTCCAAAGAAAAAGGAGAAAAAAAATTTTCCAACTCCTTAGGTAATGAATATATAGTAACTGGTCCCTGATTGCGACTGAGTCAGACTGTGATTTTGAAAAGCGAGCAAGGTTTACAAATAATTGAAAAGAAGTTTACTGCTCCTTTCTTTTAGTTTCTTTTGCTTGTTTCGTGTCAATGAGAAAGCTAATAATAGTTGCTGCGTAATTCTGCCAATTATAAAAGCTCTTCCACTGAGTCTCGCAAAATCATTTCTAAGCTAGATTAAAATGTCAGTAGTAGTAGTAGTAGTAGTAGTAGTAGTAGTAGAGGGAAGGGAAGAGAGAGAAACAAACAAACAAGCAAAATATTATCTATTAAATCACATTCTTTTCCTACTTTTCTTTTATTTTGTTATTATTAATAGTAATAAGCTAACGATGGACGGAAGGGAGCTACTGATGGACTGGCCCGCTTAGACTAGCATAGCTTAATGCGTGCGAGTCCGACTTTAAGTGTATGTTTTTATGTGATAATAATAATTGATGATGATGATTATAGTTTCCTTCACTTGGTAGCAGAGTCTGGCTCACTTGGGGGCCTAGTGATGTGATACCCGGTTCTCAGCCTGTTGACGAAACTTGTTTTTTCTCTGTTAACGTTTAAAAATGCGTAGAATTCTATGCTTCGACGGGGCTTACCATTACTGAGAGGTGCTTGCTTCTAAAAATCAGTTAGACTAATATTACTCATTGATACCTGCAGGACACTCGATACAGCCTGTTTCACTGGTTTTTTGACCAACCGAACAGAGACTGCATTCAGCACATGTGGAGCTTCGGTGCGGAAAAGTAGGTTGATGGCGTGGATCACAATCATGGCATTTAAAACCTGAGCGTTTCAAGCCAAACAGGAAGTAACTTTGTTCGCCAATTAAAGTGATATGCAGAGAAGTAGAAGGAGCACATTCTCTGAAGGTTAGAAAATTATAACATATTAAAGGGTCGGTTGAGCAAAAAATTAAAGTTTGATGAGACAAAGATGGTAGATAACTAAGCGTATTTTAGATTTGGCCACCATTGTCTCACTTTCAAGAATCGTGGGAACAAAAGAAAATGAGGTCCATGGTCAAATGCTATAGCCTTTCATTAAGCCAATCAAAATTGAAGAATTGAAATCTTTATTTTTTTCTTTATAATCACAATTTGACTTATAAATTAAGACTACCTGTAATATAGCGAAGCTAATCGAGGCAAGTAGTATGGGAAACGTGTCAATTGCATATTAATAGAATATTATTCTAATGACAAAAAATAAATAACAATTACAAAGGTACAGATGTCAATTACAAAACCTTAATGTGAATACAAAAATATAGGTATACTAGTTACAAAGCCACGAGTACATAATTAAAAACAGGAAAAGCTCAAAATACTCTTTATTGTAACGAAATCTAGTTTCTTGTCATTTCATTTATTTATGTATCAATATCAGGATAAGAATCCTGGTTTAGAAGGATTCGAAGTAAGGATTCGGTTATTTTTTTCTTGAAACTCTATTTTGGGAGCTGCCTCAAAACATCCGGAATACAGTTCCAGATTTTTGCACCCATAGAGGAAAAATAACTCTTATAGTGATTTAGTCGAGAGTAGTTTATATAGAAGTTACCAGCGGTAGAAGATCGTGTGTTATAATGATGAGCATCATTAATGGGTCTAAAGAGAGCAGAAAATGTTAGATGACACGTCTTTGTTATAGACATCATGCAAATATGCTATGGTTAGGCCAGGCAGAGTTTCATACTAATGCTAGCTTTGGATATCTACAGATACTCCATTTAGTTAAGAAAGTGGCTTAAAGAAGTCGGATATTTATTAGTGTAGATGTCTATGATAGAAATGTAACGGTTGTGCATCTTCCCACAAATAGCATTTAGACAAGGGATTATAAACAGTTTATATTCTCTTGGTGTGGAACAAATTTCAATTAAGGCTTACTTACATTGTCGCCATATATTTTCCTCGCGGAAGCTTAAGAAGATTTTTACACGTCAATGATCTGTAAATGATTAGATTAAGAATAAATTGAATCTAAGTTATAACGATTTAAAAATCAACGCATCATTATGAAAATTTTACAAACTATAATTAGCCAAGCGGCCTAGGTAGCTGAAGTCTAAATGGGTGCGTATCAGGCAACTTAAGGTACTGCGCACTGCTGACCTTTCCGAGGGTTTCAGTGGGGTAATGGCTATTATTAAAAACTGGATCATTGGATAATGCAATTCAAGACTTTTTATTGGCTTAGCCATTATGGTATATGAGCCAATATACCATAATCTAATATCTGTACATTGTAACATCCGGTTTCTTCTTACAAGATAAAGTCGAGAAGATTTGTCTTATATCTTGGGAGCGTTTTTTAATAAAACAACTATTCTACTCGCGATTGTTGGATAGGAGATGATTATAGCCAACACGGCGCTGCGTGCTTCGTTGGCTATTTATCATCTGATATCCAACGCGCACTCATGGAATGATTGTTAATTACGGTTAAGATTCTGACCATTCAAAGGTTAACGATTAATTTTTTTCTGTTCCAGTTAAAAGAACAATTTTTATCGTTAACTTTACATGCGACAAGCGGTTAAAACTGTTCACTCTTAACGCCAAACGACTAAATTTTTTTCCTTTATACGGCTAACGGTTAACCCCAGTAAGACCCTCTTTCTCGTGGAATGGATGACATTCTACACATCACGCATTTTTTTATTGACTTACTCGAATTGACCCCAATGGAGCGTTCTTAATATTTTACAACAAGATGACAGTCCATCTCCGGTTGACAAAACCCCTCACTTACATTTTCCTACCATTGTGACGGCCACCTCTCCCAATGCCCCCCTCCCCCCCTCCCCTCGACCGACAAGTCAGTCGTCGCAGACAAACGCCGTCGTAGGATCTTAAGCTCGCCATCATTTTGGGCAGAGTCAGGTTCCATGAAAAGTAAGCATCTTGCTCAAAAACATAATACACCTGGGGAGTGTAACCAAATAGGAAAACAAATCACCAGTGGTCTACACGATAACAGTAACAGAGATAAAGACAACGGCGACGATAATGATGATGACGACGTAATAGCGACACTTGAAAGTAATAGTGGAGACTAAACAATACTATTGTGACTATCTAAGCCCCTTGGTGTGTATTAATAATACGTCTTTACTTACACCTTGGTATTGTTTGTCATTTTGTCGAAAATGTCATCTGGTAACATCGGTATAGGATTATCAAAAATGGTTCTGAAAATGAAATGATAGTGTAATGCGTACCGTTTGTTTCTCTTTCCTACGAGTAACATTTTTTAAGTATCATCTCGCTGACAACAGAAATAAAACACCTTCGAGAGGGTGACGAATGGTTTGAACGCATTGCGTGATTAATTAAGGCAAAAATTAATATGCGTGATTTTTACAAAGAGGCGAGCGTGATTCGTGAATTCATGAACCAGCGTGGGGCATGATTTGCCCCTAAAATATACATGACCTACAAATTAGTCCTTTCATTACGTGGAAACCTCAAGATTTCCCCAAAATCTCAAACACAAGAAGAAAGATTTGAAATATTCCCACTTAAATACTTAAGGCGTGAATTTTTACCCCTTCCCCCGATTTCCCACCCTTTGCTACTCTCCTTCGACAAAAACCACAAAAATTATAGAAAGAAATTTCAATAAATATCGTCCAGCTTGATTCACATGAGTATATTAATAGAGATATTTAGCACTGCTTTTAAGTGAAAATCGGCTACGTTCCATAGCGCGAACCTCGCTGCTTTAGCTTTGCGTGAGCTCACGTCATATCAGTATTTTAAAAGCGATTTTCATATGAAACTTCATCCGCCCTTGTGTGACCTACAGGAAATATTTTTGATGCACTTTTTACCGGGAATGAACTTCTAGTATGTGAGAAGAAAAGGAAAGGAAATCTTACGTACATGGCAAACGTGAAACATCTTGCTTTCAAGTAGAAACGGCCAAGCGCAACTAGCAAACAAGAAAAAAATGGCGGGAAAATAAACGTGGCCACGTGGTCATTCTTGCCGTTCACGTTTCACGTAAATGCGGTGCTAAATCTCTCCAATGTATCGCATTTTAACGTTTATGGAAAAAGTATTGTTCGTTAAGTTACTTACAGCTGCTTCAGAACAAGTCTGTCAAAGCTTTTGCTTTCAATGGTTTTAATTGCATTACTGTGAAGAAACCTGCAGGACAAAAAAATTTCGATGAAACAAAATCTCCTACTGCGGAACAATTTTGAAAATATCGTATGAATGAATGTTGCAAATTGCAACCAAATAAACATGATAGAACTTGCATGAATCATTAGCATCAAATAAGGCAGTTTTCAAAATTTTAAACGGTCGTTTACCCTCAAAAACCAAACGCGCCAAGTACTTGGAAATTTGCTACATTCCGTGGCATAAGGTGTTAAAAAGACTATGCGGAAGGTGTTTAAGAACTTGTAATAACAAATACGATTACATAATAAATTTTGTTGTTGTCGCATAACGTATGCGACCTGGTGACACTTTATGTCGAATAATCTTGTCCGCAATTAGTAACCATTGTAGAGTTGTGTAGTTCAGCAGCAGAGGGTTTTTCAAGAACCGTTCTGAAGGATCTCGAGATTAGTTCATGTTTAGAGAAGTTCCGAAGGACTTCGATATTATTTTAGTTTATATTTGGCGTTTCGTCCGACCAAAATGGGAAAAAATTATACTTACAGTGATTCAAGGAGAGGAGTTTCATCAAAAACATCTTTGGCAATAAATGCTAAATTGTTTCTTATAAGCATTCTGAAAAATTTAGATCAGAAAAACACCCATAAGAAATTATAGCATATTCAAAGTGAAGTGCGCGCTCTGATTGGCCAATTCAGTGTTCACCATTTGCCTATGGGTGTACGCCGTTGACGTGAGCAAATGCTGGTCACGTAAGATTTCAGTTTTAAGTAAAAGACAACTCTCCTTACACTATTTTTCAACTTTATGTTATAAAACATTTGAAGTGTCATTCACAAAAAATTTAGAAATGCACGTAGCTGAATTAAAGAAAGAAACTAGTGAATTAATTTATTTGAAATAATTCAAAAATTGCCGAAGTCGGTTACGTTAAAATAGCACCTCTAAATTTAACATGTCAATGAATAAGATGTGGTACCCGCCAAACTCACTTTGTAAATAAGGAAAAGCAATGCAAAATGTTGTACTAATGGACTTATTTTTCGTTTTTACGTAGCCTCGTCTGAATACTAGGGGAGTTTAATGAATTCCATACACTTCCTCAGTGTTCAGAGAAGAACATCCATGCGTGGTTCGAGTCCTAACTGTTTCTATGAGTTATCCATCGAAGCAGCGAGTGAATATAGAAAGTCAAACCGTGTTTAAATACTCTCATGAACAGGGCAGTGACAAAGCTTGTTTCTGATATTTTCCTTTGAAATTTTGTGCGGGAATTGGCGCGCGCTGATTATCCCCCTGCGCATGCCCTTCGTTTTACCGCTGTGTAATTCTCATCTAATCATATCTATTTTTTTCTATTTTTGAAACGCTAAATGAAATCTTAACATAACGTAAATCCCACTGAGTTCGGCTGAGTAAATATTCCGATCGCTACACTATTAAGAACTAACACCTCTTTAGTTTACTTACAGTGTGTTCAAACTGGAAAGTCCAGCAAAGGTGCGGTTGTTAATGTGAGTAATCTTGTTGAAGTTAATCATCCTTGAGAAAAAAAGTAGAAGGAAATTAGTGTAGGAAAGTGAAGTTAAAAAAATTAAAAGGAAAAAAAAACTTTTATAAAGCGGAATAGGTCATATTCGATGAACGGCATAAAGAATTACAGTCAAACTAAGTGAAGCGTACCCCTCAAGATTACATTAATGATTTGATTATTTGAATATTGAACCCGCTAATCGTTTCAGGAGCGCAATAACGAATTGAATATTTGAACATGGAACCCGCTAACCGTTTCAAGAATGCAATAATGGATTGATTATTTGAATATTGAACCCGATAACCGTATTCGTTTTGAAAAGGCGCGGATCATTGTTCAAATCAGAGGTCCATTTGTGATTGGATTATGCGAACACGTGATGATAGATCGGAACTATTTCAGCATGGCGTCAGACATGGGGGGAAAGGTGAGTGCGAGTGTTGTGTAGAACTTCTTGTAAATGTTGTAAATGGAATGTTATCGGGAGGTTTTTTCGCCTATTTACATCTTGACGAACTTGTAGAAATTCTTGTGAGTATTCATGGTCGAAAAAAATAGTTTACGGGCGAAGCCATCGCAAGACTTTTTTTATTTCGTTAATATTTGCGATCGATTGTTTTCGCAGTGTTTTTACAGTGCAGTTCGTTCATTTTCAGGATTCCTCGTCAAATAGAACAATCTTATTGGACTTCAGAAATGGACTTCTAATTTGAACAATGATCCGCGCCTTTTCAAAACAGATACGGCTATCGGGTTCAATATTCAAATAATCAATCCATTATTGCATTCGTGAAACGGCTAGCGGGTTCAATAATCAAATAATAAATTAATTATTGCATTCTTGAAACGACTGGCGGGTTCAATATTCAATTGATCAATTCATTAATGTAATCTTGAGGGGTACGCTTCACTTAGTTTGACTGTAAT